TCTCGGCAACTGAACAGGATGTAAGCTGCTTGTGGGGTGTTCTTGGACACGCAATCTGTGTCCGAGCGTTTGTACAGCAGCGACGTCGAATCCGGAAGGTCTCGGACGCAGCCTTCTTCCTTTGGGGAAGGCTTGGACAGCAGCCGCACCTCCGGGCTTCCAAACAGGCAAAATCTGCTGTGGAAGCTTTGTTGCAGCACGACGGACCTCCGGGAGACCCCCAAACAGTAAGATTCCCTGTGTCGGACAGTTGAGACAGCAGTTTTCCCCTTGGGAAAACCTTGGACAGCAGCTTGGAGCATACCTCTCGTACTTAAAGTCTAATCCTTTCTTGTGATTTGATTATAGTCATGAAGGTCGCGTTTGCCCGATTCTGGTAAGCTTAGTAAACGTAGGGTTTGAGTGCATTCACTTGCTTCTAATCTTATTGTTAGATTAGAGATTTTCGTTGAAAGCTACTACTTTGCATGATACTGTTTTTTCTATGATATTTTGTTGATTCAAATCTCTTTGCATGCAATTTAGCCTAAACGAAAGTGACCGCTCTTATGTTTTGATTCATCGTTTTATTTGCTAATAGTTATAGTTGTTATCTCTCTAGTCAATAAGTTGTGCAAGCTCTTAATAAAACCATTGCATGCATTTTAGTCCTACATCACTTTGTTTGGGTATGGGATAGGTGGAGGGGTCATAACCTTGCCTAACTTGCTTTCATATATTTCTTATCATTCATGTTGATGTTTTACATTGATAAGACATTTTAAAATATGTAGAGAGTTGTCGGCAATTCATAGAAACCTTTAGAGGTCTAATGGACCTAGCCCAACCTAGGGGCTAGCTTAACATAAGTTTTAGACCCAAGGTCCTAGAGGATCTAATTTTCCTAGGATCTCGGATCAATTGAGCTTATCCATAAACTTTTTTACTTTGATTCATTGAATTTACGACTTGCTTAGGTGGTCTAGTTCTAAGCCAAGGTAAACTCATAGAATATTGGTAGAAATCTAATAGCCTTCTCAACCTAGGCGGTAGCCCAACCAAGCCTTAGGTCCTCCCCGAGGACCCAATTAGCTTATGATCTATTATCAATTGAGTTTACCCATAAACACCCTGAAACACTAAGACACCCTCGCTAAACCAGCTTATGAACCAAGCTTACCCAACATGCATATCGTAATAGGTAGTAAAAACTTTAGATGAGTATTGTATTATCAAAACTTAACTTAAACCTTATTTGTTATATTCCCAGCATTAGTCCCTCTTAGACTCTGCTATTAGAGGGAGCCTCTTGTGTTGACTACATCTTTTTCATGTAGATTTAAGAAAATGTTATGATCGCATATCTTTGTATGCTAAACTAGTATACGTGGAACCAACATGTGAGCACTTGGTGCAATTTATGGCTGTCACATGACCAGCTTATTTAATTTGAATCAAAAAATATTGAAAAGTTAATTATCATATCGTGCATATTATCACTTTTAAATTTGAAGATGATATATGTTGCATTTTAATTTTATAGTTTTGAATTCAAATTCAAACATATTTGAAAGGTTACTTTCACATCATGATGGTATTCAAAATTTGAATATAATGCATGATGTAATTTTAATTTTAAAATAATTATTTTAAATAATACTTAACTAGCACATCATGCATGTTATTTTTTAAATTGAATTCAAATTAAAAAATATAACTGTTTATTAGTACTAAATAATGTATGACAATTATTTTATTTTATAGCTAATTACACATATAATGATATATCATTTACTTTACATTTTAAATATTTTTTATTTATATTTAATTTAAAATTATTTGTTCAACCTTTAATCGTTTTAACTTGAGCTTGGGCAACTTGAGCTTGGGCCTTACAATACATCTAATAAATAAAATTAATTTTTATTCATTAATAGAAGTATTGATGAGTTCATGGTAATTGCATGTTTATGTTGAGAGATTCCTTAATCATCCTCTTGACCTTTTGCTATTTATTTTATCAGGATACTTCATGAAGGACGTTTTGGGGTTTAGAGTTATGTAATATAGATTTATTATAAGTTGCCGAGATCATGGTACATGCACACAAAATTTATCTGGTTGCAGGCTCTTAAATTTTAACACTTTTTCATTACTTTGATGAAAAATGAAAATATGAAATTAATCAATACAAATGATTATTTAAGAGCCTTATACCGAAAAAAAGTGTTCTACGCATACTCTACTAGTAGATTTTGGACACTTTGACACTGCTGTTCATTGGATTTTTGTAGCAAGCTTTGATCACCTTTGTTGTGCTCTTGTTTGATTGTTTCCTATAGAGGGTTTTGAGCTCCTTTGCTATGCTCTTATTTGATGGATTTGATTATGCAGCTGGCTTTGAGTGCCTTTGTTATGATGTTATTTCAACAGGGGAGTCTATTTGTTGCAGGTGCATAAGGTGGTTTTTTATTTATTATGGACATGTATGATAGCAACGAGATTTGAAATTTAAATTGAATTATGATTCTTGATTTTGGTCAGATTTTGAAATTTGAATTATTGGTTGCGACAAAAAAGAAAATCATTTATTTACTGATTTTTTCTAGGTTTGAAATTTTATTAGTTGTTTTCTTTGAATTTAATCGAGCAATGCATGATCACTTTGGTAAGACTTTCGAGTTTTTTTGAGTTTTCACATTAAGAAAATGAAATTTTATGTATTTAGTGGTCTTTGGTTTGTGGAACCTTATTTTTTCAATTTACAACCATTGCATCATTGTATTTGTATTAAAAAAGTCTTGACCCTTAAATGTTTTGTATCGCATACTACATACAGTGCTAAATTTTATGCGAATCTTATTTATTATGAGAATTGTTCTTATAGACATCAATTTTACTTCAATACTTTCCTGTTTTAAATTATCTAATGTAATGTTGTAACAGGCCTACTCATTGCTTGTAACTAGTTGTGCAGGTTTTTTTTCGTGATGATTTATATCCGATTATTGTCATTAAACTGAGAATTATTTTTCTTTGTATTCCAGCCGTATTTGGAATGAGCATTGGCTTGCAGGGTTCTTTTACAAGCCATGCAATTATGAACTATTTGTCAAGCAGTCGCTTAACATGGAAATGGCTATCGTTATGGCTCGGGTATGATTTATTGCATATCCGAAATGAACGTTTCTCGTATGTGTAATATTTAGTCAACTAAGATTATTTCTTGTCAGTTCTTTATTTCATTTTTGTTGCATAATTTTATTATTAACAGATGCATACATTTTTCTTCTAGGCGTTGAATTGTTCTATTTCTCCTGCTATTTTGGTTTGAGTAATGAATCTTTTAGGAAGGTCATAGGTATAATAATTTATCTAGGAAACGCAAAATTGACCTATGTTGTTGTATGTAGGATGCAGGAATGGATTGGATCATCCATCTTGACACTGATGAGTTGATACATCCAGCTGGGGCCCAAGAGTACTCTTTAAGACAATTGTTATCTGATGTTCCTAGCAATGTTGATATGGTGATATTTCCAAATTATGTAAGTAAGATTTCATCCTCCATAGTAAACACAATCACGTGTGGCAGGTCTAAGGCACTTTACCTTACGTGTTCTAGGAAAGTAGCATTGAGCGGGATGATATTAAAGATCCTTTTAGCGAGGTAAATGATACCTTTTTCTCCCCTTGAAGCTCAACTTACCACTGCTTAGATTAATTTGATGATGCCTCTACTGTACTAGCGGTTAAATTTTGATGTTTATTTCTGTGCATGTATGTTCTTGAGTAAAAAAATCGTATTCGGTAGTTCCTAGTCCCTTCTTTATGTTATACAAAGCTGCTTACAACTTAGATTTCAAGCGTGAAGCCTGAAATTCAGATTGGGTTAAATTATGCATTTTCTTGCTTTCTTTTTTATTCTTGGTGATGCCACCTTGAAACTTTGTTGGATCAATTATTTTGAATGACCTTTCCCTTTCGTGCCATTTTTCAAGCATTTGAGTAGCTGAAATGGGATTTCATCATTTTAAACTTATGCAGGACTAATTGACTTATCATTTGTAGTAGGCTCATGCATTGGGTACGCTCTAATTTGATTAATATTTCTATGTATAACTATCATTTGCTAAAGAAACATACAAACAGTTGCATAATAAGGATCTTTTGGCGGACACTTTGGTTCAGGTGATTCGACTGACAATGCATTTAGGAGCTTGGGTTCTGGATCCTTTGTTCTATCCCGGTTCTCACATGTTTCACCCAAACAAGCGGGGTGCTTCAAATTATTATTGTTTTATTGTTATTAGTTGGAGTAGGCACTGGAGCAGTAGGCATAGGAGTAGTAGGAGGAGGATAAGGAGAAGCCATAGTCCTAGTGGTTATATCTTTTTCATGATCAAATATTATTGATAGTATATAGTCCTTATTTTGTTGCATATTGTAATCCCTAATGAAAAATATAGCCCTATGAGCGAAGGCTCTTGTCATGACAAACCCTAAGATATATTGATGATGAGTATATAGTAGGAGGAGGATAACAAATAAAAAAAAAGTAGGAGGATAAGAAGTCATAGTACTAGTGGTTATATCTTTTTTTATGATCTAACATTATTGATAGTACATTGTCCTTATTTTGTTGTAGATAGTAATCCCTAATAAAAAATATATATCCCCATGAGCGAAGGCTCTTGTCATGATGAACTCTAAGATGTATTGATATTGAGTATATAAAATAAATTAAGTCTTTGTTTGGGATAGTTTTTTTATTTCTTTCTACAGTAGTTTTCTAATACAAAAATATCTTGGAAGCAGCTAAAAAGCAGTGGCAAAAAACTGTTCCAAATGAAGCCTAAATTGTAAAGTATTGTGCTTTAAATTCACAAGCAGGCAAATAATATGGGCTGAGTTACTAAGAAAATAATAATCCATTTATGACCCCAAACGAGGATAAATCAAGTCCCAACTGAAAACCGGACAACTTATTTATTATTTCATAAAGATCCTTATACCTATAGCCTAATCAACCAAATTTGGGATCAGGTATAGAATCAAATATCTTTTAAAAGCATATATTCTAGGGGAAAGTAGAAGAAAAATATGGTCAGCATATCTTATGGGATACAGATTGGCTTGGAAAAATGTGAGACATGGACACAAGGAACTTGTTACCTCAAACCCTTTAAATGAATTCTATAAAACACAAAACTGTGGGATTGGAAAAGGAGATTTAACATATGCTTGACTCCAATGACGAGCACTGCTACCATATATCTGAAATGATGTTAAAACCGAGAGAAACAAATTGGATGCATTGTTATGGCCTTCTTGGATTTTCAGCACATATGAAATATATAAAAGAAGAAAGAAAGATTTGCAAATTCTTACATTAAGCAAACTTTACTGTTGTGGATTTTGGAAAAAAATCAATTATCTTGGTAAATGAATAGAACTGGAAAATAATTGAAAAGGTGGAAAGTTTTAAAGAGTTCTGATACAATTTCAGTCTACAATTCAATATATTTCTATATGGGAGACAATGGAAATAATTTAGATGCATAGTCCTTATATTAATAGAATAGATGATTTTTTTCCCGGAGTAGTGTGTGAAGAAGTGGGATAAAGGCTTGATGTGAAGATGTGGGATAAAGGCTTGATGTTGTTGTTGTTGTTGTGTGTGAAGAAGGTTTGGTGAAATGCTAGTGTAATGCTACAATTGAGTGGCTTAATTAATAGAGAATTTTGAATCAAGATCATTTTGTCTTTAATATAATTCTTGTGCTTGAAAAAAAGTAGATTAATTTACTTGGTCATGATAAGATCTTCATTTCCATTCTACTGGATAAAAGGGTTGTGGGTTGATGGCAATTCGGAAATCAATCACAAAATTGAAATGCATCCTTGACTGTTAATTGTTCTATTTTACGTCGCTTCAATTTCAAAAATGTGTTCTCCTTTTTCTTTTATAATGCGTAGAATCATCCCAATTACTTAAAACTATGCCCAACACAATCTTCACTTTTTTCATACACCCATACCTTTTTCTTTTATAATGCGTAGAATCACCCCAATTACTTAAAACTATGCCCAACACAATCTTCACTTTTTTCATACGCTCATAAAATCCAAGTTATGAGTTGTGAATACCTTAGTATCTTCTTTAGACAAGTAGAATATTTGTATGTATGATGACACATCCTATTTGTGTTTGATAAGAATCATTTGATTGATGCTTACCTTGATTAAATTCTATAGTAGTTCATTCCTGTGATGAATGGCTTTTGTTTTCCTTTTTGTGTGTGTATGTTAATTTTAACATGGATTCTTGGGATAAAAGACCAACACCATCTTGATATAGTAATAGCCTATGAGTGAACTGAAGTTACGTGCATAAGACATTGAAAATTAAGTATATAAAAACTTATATTGTTAGAAAAACAAAATTAGATTCCTTAACCTTGTCACTATCAAATTGTATGTTTTAATAATGTTTTCGGGGAAGCATGTGCTTTGAAGAATTAAACAAATGCATAAAGGCAGAAAGATAAAAGAAGTTTTGGCAAATTAAGCTACCTGAAGATAAAAGAAAAAAAATAGCTTCAAAACAGGTGCATTAGTCTATCATAAGGGATCAATGGAAGCAATTCAGGTAATAAACACCAAATTTGTCTAAGCACTTTTTCCAATATGTGATGTACTCCAGCAATATAAAAGTTTAATTGTTGAGTTTTCCATGTTAAAATGGTGATTTAAAAATTGTAAAACTCATGCTGTTTTCTACTTCGTTGTAGCATACTGTTTTTGAGAAATATCGCCTTGGCATATATTCGCAATGAGCCCTACTAAATGATCCCTAGGCTATTACAACGATCCATTTCAGTGAAGAGACATGTCTCTTAAGGCGTCCCTAGACTATGTTTTTACTGAAGAAACATGTCTATGAAGATGTGAACTGCATGAGGTTAGATTAAAATATCCCATGGAACTTTATGGTTTCCTAGGATGGGCCTCCTAGTTTTCTCCAAGTCTTGAGTGCAATAACACTTTAGAAGAACTTGACTGTTGCACATAAGCGCAATAAACGTAGTTGTTTGATAAATTAAAAATTTTCCCTCTGTGAAGTTATTGTTGTTTCTGCACTATTGCAAAACTGCTTCATCTAGCTTTGTAGGGTGGATGCCTTTCTATAGAATACTCTGCTGTGGCAGTATAATGTTCATCGATGGTTAGTTCAAAATAAAAAATGGAGACTCATGCTTACTGCTGATTGATAGATTATTCCTGCATGGTGAACATTGAGTTGCAGTTATGAAAGCTTTTGTATGGAAGCTGTTGTTTGATTATTTTCTAGTTTTGATAGAAATATAAACATGTTACAAAGACCAGATAGCAGTTTCAGAATTCTGTCAATCTTACTCTGTGAGCAGGTCTCGATGTTTAAGAAGAACTATGATCATCTTCCGAAGGATACCTATTTTTCAATGTACAAGGAAGCAACACGCGGTAATCCTAACTATTTTCTGACCTATGGAAATGGAAAATCAGCTGCTCGAGTTCAAGATCATCTTCGCCCCAATGGTGCTCATAGGTGGCATAACTATATGAAGTCCCCTAAGTAAGATGGTTTACTATATTTGTATTTAATGCAAAAAAAAAAAAAAAAAAAAAAAAAAAAAACTCTTTTGATGTTTCACACTATCTATTTCATCCATTTCATGCCACTATATTTTATCTTCTCTGTGTAACCTTTCTTTTTCCCTTTAACAAAATTTAATGTGTTTTTTTTGTTGTTTGGTAGTGAGATCAAGTTAGAAGAAGCTGCTGTGCTGCATTATACTTACACAAAATTTTCAGATTTAACTTCGCGGCGTGACCGTTGTGGCTGCAAGCCAACCAAGGATGATGTCAAGAGATGCTTCATGTTGGACTTTGACAGAGATGTAAGTGTTTTCCATTCTCCTTAGTAGAACTTCCAAGTATTTTCTTCTGTAATAGGAGGTTTCCTTTAACATTTAGTGAATGATTTGTATCTACAATTCAACTCTTTTGGTGGAACAAACGGTAGTTTGCATGAAAAATTTCCGTATAGTTGTAGCATTTGTCCATGTCTCTAAACAACATCCTTGTAAGCTCCTTTATTTGAGTAGAAGACATCTAAGATCATTGTTTTACCCTTTAGCAGTCATTTTTCTTTTGTCTATCTTTCACAGATATGCTTAAGTTACAATAATAGCTTAAATCATGAAATTAAAGATATATATATATATATATATATATAACTTCAAAATAGTCCCTCGACTATTTGTATATGCAAATTTAGTCATAGTGTTTCACATTGCACCAATATAATTTCTTGACTATACTAAAATAATTCAAAATGCTCCTTTTGGTATTAAATTTTGATCAATTTTATATCACAATTATTACACGAGAGCCAATTTTGGATCAATTTTATATTGTTGGACTAAATTGGAGCAGCGTGACACTCAGAGACTAAATTAGCAATACATGAATAATCTGAGGATTATTTTGGAATTCATCTCTCTCTCTCTCTCTCTCTCTCTGTACTATCATTGAGTCCTAAGGCTTGAGATGCAATGCCACCTTGCCCTTTTGCCACATCGCCTACTCTCGTGGTGTTGCATTGCCCATCGTGATGCCACCTTCTCCTGCAGTTCACCCTCACACATGTTTGCTGCTTCTATCGCTTGTGTGAAATTCAAAACTCCCAATCTGCACATTGTGACGCTACTTCTGCGTGCATATCCTAAGTTCCTTGTTCACACACTACTTGGCCCCATCAACCATAACTGTAATTTGTATTTGAGTGTTTCCCTCACGTGTCACAACTTTGTCTACTCTAGGAGCCATGTTGCTACTTCACCAACTAAAGGCATGCTCACCCCACTATTCTTGCTTCGCCAAACCATCTTGAGAATCCAACCCCATGTCATCATGATCTCCACATTGTGACCCCACAACCCCCACTTCACTCACTCTCTCTAGCCTCCAATTGAGTTACTTGGCCCTTTAAATTCTCACAATCCTAAACCCTATATATATATATATATA